CTTACTACAAAGTTTTTGCAAATAAACCTCTGATAAACCTCAGGAGATATCAAAAAAACCTGAGACCGACATTTTTTATTGCCAAATGTAATGCTTTTAAATAAATACCTTCTGGGTGTTGAGTCTTCACAATCTGGAAAACGTGTTACATTTTCTTTCGAAAGAAACTTTAAAAAAGAGTTTCCCCCCTCCTAAATGTTGTGCTAGATTTGGGTTATGGGATTTGGTAGGAATAGATGAACAGAGAGAAGAGGGTGACTATGGCTATGTCTAGACTGCAGGCTTCTTTCAAAAGAGGCTCTTTCGAAAGCATCTTTCGAAAGAGCCTCTTTCAAAAGATCGCGTCTAGACTGCAGGCGGATCTTTCGAAAGAGAAATCCGCTTTTTCGAAAGAGAGCACCCAGCGAGTCTGGATGCTCTCTTTCGAAGACGGCCTCTTTACATTGAAGAATGCCTTCTTTCAAAAGAGGAGCTTTCGAAAGAAGGCGTTCTTCCTCGTAAATTGAGGTTTACCGCCATCGAAAGAAAAGCCGCGTTCTTTCGAAATAATTTTGAAAGAACGCGGCTTGAGTCTGGACGCAGGGGAAGTTTTTTCGGGAAAAGGCTACTTTTCCCGAAAAAACCCCTGAGTCTGGACACGGCCTATGGGGAAGAGGTGGAGTGGGGTCAGGAGGAGGAGGTTGGGGGCAGAGGAGTGGGATCAGGAGGAGGAGGCAGGACCTGGGTGGAACAGGGGTGGAATATGGGTGGGGCCACATGCTAAGGAGTTTGCCTTCCCAAGCACCAGCTTCACCTATTACCCATGTTGGGGGATCAGTCGTTGGATGTCTAGAAGCAGTGATCACGCCCCATAAAGTGCTATTGAAAATGGGACGAGTGGTGGACTCCAGTCACATCAGCAGCAGGAAAATTTGTATCCAGGTGTGATTATTGATGGGGCATATGTGGGGCTTTACAAATCAAAGCACCTACTGCATTGATTCAACCACAAATTCTACTCCACAATATGTCCAGTCCACCAAAGTCCCCCTTGGAAAAGGAAGCTGTATGTAAGCCTCTTTCCCATCCTTCTCCCCTACCAGGTTAGGGGCAGAGGAGCAGTATACCAGCTGCCTTGACAATACCCTGGCTTTTCCCATCTGACTCTGGGATGCAATTACTTTCCCTGACATTCTCAGCCAGCAAAGGAGTGGGAGTTTCATTCTACATCTAAAACCTCTTTGAAAAGGGTGAAAGAAGAAGTAGCAGCTGCAGAGAGGAAAATTAGAGGCAGGATAAAAAGCCTGAAACAAAGGAATGAAAGAAAAACAAAAGAAGAAGGAGAGATAAGGAGAAAGCTCTGAAGATGGGTGGAGGGTGGGAGAAATCTAATGTAATTCCTCACCTAGTGGCTGAGAGCCCAATACAAACTCTAAGAGCATTGACACTTCGGTGTTTAGAAGTAGCAGCTGCAGAGAGGAAAATTAGAGGCAGGATAAAAAGCCTGAAACAAAGGAATGAAAGAAAAACAAAAGAAGAAGGAGAGATAAGGAGAAAGCTCTGAAGATGGGTGGAGGGTGGGAGAAATCTAATGTAATTCCTCACCTAGTGGCTGAGAGCCCAATACAAACTCTAAGAGCATTGACACTTCGGTGTTTAGCTGTGAGGGTTGGGGGGGGGGGGGGGAGATCACAATTTTCCTGTTACTTTTTCCAAGCTGAGAGGAAGGAAAGATACGGAGAAAAGTCAAATTGCTTGCCCACTGAGGAGGAATTTCTGTCAGTCTCCAAGGGTGAGTGAACACCAAAGAAGAGGAGAAGAAGATGAAGATAGCAGATGGCACCTCACCATAGATGGAAGTGGATTTGGCTATCCTAGCTCTGAAGGGACACTCCGTGGTGCCATGACAACTGGTAAGGAATCCCGCTGAGCCGGGTTTGTAAAGGACTGGGATGCCCTAATGGCTGTACAGTTTGGTGTGAGAAATAGCCTCTCCCTGAATGTTTTAGTGTCTTCACCGCACTCCTTCCTTCCCCAGCTATCCACATATTGAGTCTACGGGAGCCGCTCACAGCAGGGAGAAATGTATCTTGGGCACAGCACTCTGTAGCTTCTCTCATTGAGCAGAACGTGTGTTGTGACCCTGGCCCAGGGATGGCCGAGGGTGGAGAGGAAGCTCAGAGTAGTAATTTCTCAGATAACGGTACTAGCCTAGAGGAGGAGAGTCCACTTACTGGGCTCTTGGGAACCATCCTGATAGCCATGTGCCTTTTTGGGATGACCGGGAATGTCTATACACTAGTGGTAGCATCCAGAGTTGTGTCTGGCCGCTCAGCTGGCTCCCTATGGGTCTATGTGGTCAACCTGGCCCTGGCTGACCTACTCTACCTCTCCACCATCCCCTTCGTGGTGTGCACATACTTTTCCCGGGATTGGTTCTATGGGGATGTGGGCTGCAGGCTCTTGCTCAGCCTGGATCTGCTCACCATGCACGCCAGCAATTTCATGCTGACAGCCATGAGCCTGGAGAGGTACTGGGCAGTGACCAGGTCACTGAGGGCCAGGCAAGCTGGGAACAGCTTTTCCGGTATCATATATACATCAGGGCTGGCAGAGACCTCAGGAGGCATCGAGTCCAGCCCGCTGCCCAAAGCAGGGCCAGCCCAACTCAATCAGCCCAGCCAGGGCTTGGTCAAGCCAGGACTTAAACACCTCTTGGGATGGAGATTCCACCCCCGCCCTAGGGAACCCAGCCCAGCGCTTCCCCACCCACCTAGGGAAATAGTTTTTTCCTAAGATCCAACCTAGACCTGCCCCACTGCAACTTGAGCCCATTGCTCCTTGTTCTGCCATCTGCCCCCACTGAGACCAGCCTCTCTGGAACCCCCTGTAGGGAGATAAAGGCTGCTTTCAACCTCACCCCCATTCTTCTCTTCTATAGACTAAATAAACCCAGTTCCCTAAGCTTCGCCTCGTAAGTCATGTGCTACAGCCCATTACTCATTTTCAGTGCCCTCCGCTGGACTCTCTCCAATTTGTCCACCTCTGTTCTGTAACGTGGAGCCCAGAATGGGGCGCAGCGCTCCAGCTGTGGTCTCACCAGTGCTGAATAGAGGAATACTCATTTCTCTAGATCTGCTGACAATGCTCCTGCTAATACGCCCCAATATGTGGCTAGCCGTCTTGGCTCCAAGGGCACACTGTTGAAGGGGATTGTGGGGGTTATAGTTCTGTGCATGCTCAGCCTGAACCACCGCCCCCGCCGGGCACTTCAGGCTCAGTTTCAATTTCATGTAGGTGTAGAAACGGCTGGCACCCGGGGGGTCCTAGTGCTGTCCTTCCCTCCGGGGCACCTGCGGGGTCCTAGGACTCCTAGCGCTGTCCTTCCCTCTGCTGCTAAATTGGCACCCCTCTAGCGTGATGCCCAGGGGCAACTGCTGGTAGGTCCTTTTGTGAATCTAGCCCTAGATTTATCACAGCTAATTTTAATGTGTTTTTCTACAGTGCATCAGCGAAAACCACACCACTGCGTCACAATATGTGAAAAATGTTCCTGTCTTAAAAAGAATTCCCCAGAACATAATGGGGAGCTGCTGCTTTGTAAGAGGACGGGGCTGCTGGAAAAGTGACCCTTTGTACAAGAAACTGCACCAAGCAAATGACACAGCGTTAGGCCAGGTCTGCATTTCGGAAGAAAGTTGACTAAGTTACGCAACTCCAGCTCTGAGAATGGCCTAGCTGGAGTCAAGGTATCTTCAATCCACATACCTCCCCCTTGCGGGAGGGTGTGACGTAGTGGGGGTACTTGCTGGGCTGTGGTGACCCCTGCTGTCTGGAGCAAGACCCAGCAGGGAAAACCTCACTATGCAAAGGTAATGCCAAACTTGTTGAACCAGACACCCCCCATGGAGAGGAACAAAGGAAGGTGGAATGCTGCCCTGGCTGGGGGGCAGGGCTGGAAGAGGGTTAGTGAGTGGTTGGCTGGAAGCATGGAGGAGACAGCCTAGGGAAAGGGACTGGAGTTTAGGGGCCCAGTCTCCCCCATCTCAAGGGGGCCTGAGGCATCCTAGCCCAGCTCTGTGACAAGATTACATCTGTGTTGTGCTGTATCCTGGAGAGGCAATAAACAACCTCCATTACACCAGCTGGTACAGTCTGTTTGTGCCATTTCGGGGTGCAGGAGACGGGGGACCCCCAACGCACCGTCACAGGGTGCAGACTCTAAAGGGAGGCTTGGGGTACAGGAGGAGATTCCAGGCTGTGGCTGAGGGTTCACAGTGTGAGAGGGGGCTCTGGTTTGGGTTGGGGGATTGGAATGTGGGAGGGCATGCGGGCTCCAGGATAAGGGGTTTAGAGTGTGGGAGGGGGCTTTGGACTGGGGCAGGGGATATGGGTCGGAATTTCTGTCAGTCTCCAAGGGTGAGTGAACACCAAAGAAGAGGAGAAGAAGATGAAGATAGCAGATGGCACCTCACCATAGATGGAAGTGGATTTGGCTATCCTAGCTCTGAAGGGACACTCCGTGGTGCCATGACAACTGGTAAGGAATCCCGCTGAGCCGGGTTTGTAAAGGACTGGGATGCCCTAATGGCTGTACAGTTTGGTGTGAGAAATAGCCTCTCCCTGAATGTTTTAGTGTCTTCACCGCACTCCTTCCTTCCCCAGCTATCCACATATTGAGTCTACGGGAGCCGCTCACAGCAGGGAGAAATGTATCTTGGGCACAGCACTCTGTAGCTTCTCTCATTGAGCAGAACGTGTGTTGTGACCCTGGCCCAGGGATGGCCGAGGGTGGAGAGGAAGCTCAGAGTAGTAATTTCTCAGATAACGGTACTAGCCTAGAGGAGGAGAGTCCACTTACTGGGCTCTTGGGAACCATCCTGATAGCCATGTGCCTTTTTGGGATGACCGGGAATGTCTATACACTAGTGGTAGCATCCAGAGTTGTGTCTGGCCGCTCAGCTGGCTCCCTATGGGTCTATGTGGTCAACCTGGCCCTGGCTGACCTACTCTACCTCTCCACCATCCCCTTCGTGGTGTGCACATACTTTTCCCGGGATTGGTTCTATGGGGATGTGGGCTGCAGGCTCTTGCTCAGCCTGGATCTGCTCACCATACACGCCAGCAATTTCATGCTGACAGCCATGAGCCTGGAGAGGTACTGGGCAGTGACCAGGTCACTGAGGGCCAGGCAAGCTGGGAACAGCTGCCGCAAACTCACCAGCCTGGCCCTCTGGCTCCTCTCGCTGCTGCTGACTGTGCCCATGATGGTCATGATCCAACTGCGGGACAGCGCCAGCCACAACAAGCGGATCTGCTTCCCTACCTGGACGCCTGAGGCCTTCCGGGTTTACCTCACAGTGCTCTTCACCACCAGCATTCTGGCTCCTGGGCTGATCCTGGGCATCCTGCACTTCCGCCTTGCCTGAGCCTACTGGAAGGACGGGTCTTGAAGTAGCTGTTCTGCAGGCTCTTCAGCATCATCGTAACCTACTGGGCCTGCTTTGTACCCTTCTGGGCCTGGCAACTCACTAAGCTGTACTGGACGGAGGGCCTGTGGATCAGCCCTACCACCCAGGCATAGCTCAATTTCGGAGTGACCTGCCTGACCTACGGCAACAGCTGCATCAACCCCTTCCTCTACATCCTGCTCACCAGGAACTACCGCGAGTACCTGGCTCATCGCGGGGAGCGGCAAGCGTGGGAACGGCCCCCTCTTCCCAAAGGGGAAGCAGGGTAGAGACCAAGCAGAAGACAAACCCATGACATCCAAGGAACTGCCATGGGCAAGGAAGGGGAAACCTCTGGCAATGAAACTCCAAGAAGAGCTGCTGCCAGGACTTAATGCAGCTTGCTGTTAATGCATAGTGGCCTCACAAGAAATATTAAATGCTTTTCCAGCTCTGCCTTCTGCACTTACCTGCTGTGTCTCCTCCTCTCTTTATCGATGGTCGTTGCCCTGGCACCTCTTCTTCTCAAATGTCTCAGAGCCCCTGCTCATTCACTGGACCTTATAGCCCCCTCCCACAGTCTCACTTAACCTCCCAGCCCTTGGGCCTGCCAACTTATGATTTGCAGAAAACTGAACACTCTGGCCCTGCTCCAGCTCCACTCCATTGCTTACTCACACATTTTCACTGGGCTAGGATGGAGGAGGGCAGGATGCAGGCTCTGGGTAGCTGAGCTGGGACTGGGGATTGGGTGTGTGAGGGGGTACGGGCTAAGGACTATGAGCTTTGAAGTGAGGCCAGAAATGAGGGGTTCAGGATGTGTGAAGGGGCTCCAAGATGGGGTAGAGAGGTTGGGTATGGAAGAGGGTCTTACTCACACATTTTCACTGGGCTAGGATGGAGGAGGGCAGGATGCAGGCTCTGGGTAGCTGAGCTGGGACTGGGGATTGGGTGTGTGAGGGGGTACGGGCTAAGGACTATGAGCTTTGAAGTGAGGCCAGAAATGAGGGGTTCAGGATGTGTGAAGGGGCTCCAAGATGGGGTAGAGAGGTTGGGTATGGAAGAGGGTGAAGGCTCTGGCTGGGGGTGCAGACTCTAAAGGGAGGCTTGGGGTACAGGAGGAGATTCCAGGCTGTGGCTGAGGGTTCACAGTGTGAGAGGGGGCTCTGGTTTGGGTTGGGGGATTGGAATGTGGGAGGGCATGCGGGCTCCAGGATAAGGGGTTTAGAGTGTGGGAGGGGGCTTTGGACTGGGGCAGGGGATATGGGTCGGGGGTGAGGGCTCTGGCTGGGGGTGTGGGTTGGGATGGGAGGGTTGGGCTGCAGGAGAGGGCACAGGTCAGGGCAAGGAGATGGGGCACAGAAAGGGGTGCAAGGTGTGGGATCTGGGCCGTGCTCATCTCAGGCAACTCCTCAGACATGGCGACATGCCCCTGCATCTCCTGGGTACGGGGATGGCGAGGGAGGCTGCACACTCTGCCCCCGAGCACTGGCGCTGCAGCTCTCATTGGCCCAGAGATACTTAAATGCTAATGGTTCCTAAGGATGTTAAATATCGGTTAATTAAATACAGGAGCAGAGTAACCTCATGAATTCTTATTGGTCAGTCGACTGTTCTATAGTCCCCGGAGGCAGGGACGGCAGCCAGTGCACTCCAATCTCACTCTCACGGAGCCCCTGCCACTCAGCATCAGGTGGGAGCTGGTCTGGAAGGGGGGGCCAGTTTAAAAACCCGCTCCCGCTGTGGACCAGCTGCCTGTCGCCCTGTGCTGATGCCTCTGATAAAGAGGCAGCGGCGCCGGTTGGCAGCAGCTCCTGTCTGGGGGGGCCTGAGCTCCCAGACCCAGTACGAGAGGGAATTGAGCCAGGCTGCCTGCCCACCTGACTCCTACTACACTTTAAATGCAGAGCCACAGCAGGGGTAGGTCCCAGACCCGTTGCAAACCAGAGCTGAGCTGGACTGCTGGCCAGCCTGCTAAAAATGTACTGGCAAGGAGTGGGGGGAGGAAATGCATGTAGTCTATAGCATTAACATATACGCTTTTGCTTATCGGTTAATTGACTCCACTATGACATCTCTAATGGTTCCTGTCCTGGGTCCTTACTTGGGCCCCTGCTGATGGGAGAGAGGGAATGCAACCCTGCACTTCCCCTGCAGACAATGGCCGCTCACTAGAGCTCTGCGCAGATACAAAATTTGTATTCACATCCGTAGCCACAAAAATGGGCTGTGGGTATCCATGGATAGAAGGTGGATCTTGGTGGATTTTCAGGGCTCTACCTCTCACCATAAAGTGAGCAGGTGTAGCAAGCGAGAGGCCCAGCCCCTGTTTCCAAAGAGGGCCACAGACCCTATTAGTGGCCCCAAGCAGGGAAGCCTGCTCTGTCCATTCTGGCAACAACCTGAGCCCTAGTGCGCTCTGGCTAACAATCAGCCATTGCAGGCTCTGGTGGGATTGGACTACAGAGTCATTTCCTCCCAATTTAGCATTCAGGCTGGAGGAAGGGGCCTGACTCCTGAGGACATGTGGCAGCACTAAAATCTCAGCTTTCATTAAAGAGAACATGGTGCTCCAAGCGTGACCAGTGCCATGAAGTTTGCGTGAGATGGCTTGAAACAAGGATGAGGGGAAGCATGGGCAGCTCCCATTCATCTTAGTGGGGAGGGATTGAACTCCCTGCTGCTTTGGTAGGGTGTGTGTTTGTACAACCCTCAGGACAGCCATAGGAAAGAAGAGCGCCTCACCACCAACACCCCTTCAGAGACAGGGCGAGAGACACCCTGTGCTGATAGAGTCCAGCTCAAACAGGCGGAGAAGACTGTCTTACCTCTTCCTGAGTATATCTGTCTACCTGACATCAGGGAGTGATCGTCTAGGGTCGTGGTGTCCAACCAGTGCGGAAGTGCAACCAGTGTCCAACCAGTGCTATAGCGAACTAGCCACACTCAACCAGCCAAATAGCCACATTGTTTAAGCCAACTAGCCCCTCTCAATGGGCCAACTAGCCATGTGTAGCTAGCAGCTCATGTGTTGGACACCACAGAGTGAAGCCTTCCTGGCCCAAAGAACAGGCCCCTTGCTAGCCCAGTCAGCAGACAGTTTTCTTGTTGGTGGTTCCTGCCACTGAAACCCCAAATAGAGCCATTGTGATGGCACAGGGGTGGGCCTTGCCTCGCCTTAGTCTGGCCCTGTTTAGCATGAATAGGGGGACAGAATCCCTGGCTTCTCCCTCACTTAGATATTTTGAGAGAGAAGCTTGTCCATGTTCCCCTGTGGCCAGCCCTTGCTCCTGGGGCAGCACAAATCCAGCAGGCGGGGGTAGCACCATGGTGGAAGGCAGGGCCTAGCTCAGTACCGTGGGCTGGCTTTCCCACAGCAGGGGGAGGAATGTACCATGTGCATGTAACATGCCTCATCACATGCCCAAGATGGGATGGAGTGGGGAGTGGTGAGAGTCTCCGCACCCCAGGACGAGCTGGAAAGAGGCACGCGGAGTCACTGGCACATTACCAGGGAAGGAGAACAAAAGCACAAGTTACGTGCCTTGCAAGAGGCAGCAGCTTCTGACTGTCAGCAGCTGGGAGTAGGCGTTTGGCTCACACTCGGTGCTGACAGCGTGGTATAATTTTGCTGTGGGGCGAGGGAAGGGGAGGGCCTGGGCAGGGATAGAAGTATCAGGCTGTAGCCTAGCCAGCACACTGCATTACCTTTCAGAAAAGAGAAAAGCAGCACAAAGACGGTTTTGTGGCACCTATAAGACCCATTCAGAACACACACTTTTGGCCCCTATTGCCCCCGACCTACCACCTGCTGTCTGAAGGGTTTGTGCATGAGCAAGATTGCCCCAACCTCTGCTCTCACCTCCATAGTTGTTATTCTGCAAGCACCTGAGGGCTGGACTACACCCATCACGTGCCTGGAGCAGACTCTAGCCAAAGAGAGCGCTCTCGCCAGCATCATAAAACACCTCTGCAAGAGACTGTAGCTATAGTAACAGGAGAAGCTCTCCTGCCAACATTGCGCTGTTCATACCAGCTCTTAGGTGGGTGTAATGTATGTCACTTGGGGGGGGTGGCTTAATCACACCTTTGAGCATGCCTGCCAATGAAGGGGGAGATGGTGCAAAGGGGGTAGTTGCCTCTGAGGCCTACTGATTCAAAGAGTGCCATGTTCAGGGCATCTCTTAGGGCTGCCTGGGGAGGTTGAGTGGTGCAAGGGCTGACTTCCCTGGACCCCGCCCCTTCCACCTGAGGCTCCACCCCTTCTGGGAGTTCAGAGCCCCCCCCCCCACCTTGCTGAGGGGCCCAGTGTGGCTGTCAGCTCCTCTACCTGTGAGCAACAGTTCTATTGGCATAAGTGATAGTGTGTAAAAGCCTTAAGTGTCATAAGCCAAGCCCCCCCCAGCACCACAGGAGGGAGGGTGGTGCATGACCTCACCCCTAGAGTACAGGGAGAGTGGGCGCTTGGGTGCAGCAATACTCCAGTATGCTTACAGTAGGCATTCTGGGGGCAGAGTATAGGTGGGGCCAGGCTAGGGGTTTGGGAAGACAATGCCTTCCCCTGCCTAACATACCCGCTGTCCCGTGTAGGTAGAAGCCAGACAACCAGCACATCCCACTCCTGCATCTCTGGCTACATTCACTGTTGACATGGCAGCAGCCCCTGTTACATGATTTCAGCCTTTTGAGCAGCAGCTCTTCAGTGTTTAGTGATGTGTTCGGTCAGGGACTAGACACATTTACCAGGCTCCTTTCAGTCACAAGGAGTGTGGAGCTAAATCCTGAGGTAAAAACGTTTAGTGCAATAAGCTAAATAGTGCCAGGCACAACCACACTGATATAGAAGTATTTTCTGTTATTGATATTTTGGTCACATTATCCTTCAGGAAGTCCTCCCTCCAGTGTTCCCTGAGAGAGGCTATTGAACACAAGCCAAGAGCTGGCTCAGTCCCACTGCGATACACAAGGTGCCATCAGACACCAAATCTGACAGAAGGATGCGACAGACCCAGGAAAGGAGGTGTAGGGCTGTGGGAAAAGGCGGCAGACACAAGAGAGAGCTAGTTGCTAAGTTTAGTAGACCAAACTCAAAGGTGTTTATTGAATATCCCTTTGGGGAGCAAGGAGTGGGGAGTTATTCCAAGTGGACAGATTTGATTGTGAAGTCACCTTCTGCATTCATGTAGTCGATGGTCTTGAGACCCAACCGGTTAGGGAACTTGAACTGGTGGTGGTTTGGCAAATCAATAGTTAGATTACTCATGTCGTGAGTGATGAAGATCTGCAAGGGAGGAATACAGAGAACACATCTACCATGGTCTGCTAGAAGCCCTTCTTTTCCTGCCCTGCTCAGATAGCAGGGTCTTCAAGCTAGGGTATGTCTACACTACCCTCCTATTTCGAAATAGGAGGGTAATGTAGGCATACCGCAATTGCAAATGAAGCCCGGGATTTGAATTTCCCGGGCTTCATTTGCATAAGCGGGGCGCCGCCATTTTTAAATCCCCGCTCGTTCGAACCCCGTGCTGCGCGGCTACACAGGGCACGAACTAGGTAGTTCGAACTAGGCTTCCTAGTTCGAACTACCGTTACTCCTCG